AAGACTATGACACTTACTACATTTAAGACAGACAGACTTTATTTAAGTGAGGGGATTTTTACAGTCAATTAAAAATAAAAAATTAAAAAATGCTAGTAAACTGGTTGAATAATTTTTTGCATCAATAGCATTTTCTGCATAATTTACGAATAAAAAAAGCCACCAGTTCTTAAATTACATTCAACAAGCATTCTTTACAACAATTCATGTTTAATTTACAAGGTAATGTTTAAATACCGTATAACGTAGTCATTTTCAAGTGACGATAGCGTCACGGGGAACTGAACACTACTAAAATCCATTTCGTTTTTCCATTCATATTTGAGTTTGATCATCCCAGCGAGGTTTAAAAAAGAAAGTCCTAATTTTCACAAGAAAGCAAAACCGTGAAGGATTCTGGCAGCAGTAGTAAAGGAGTGGAGATGGGGACAGGGTGGTCACAACCTCCCGCCTTCCGTACCCTTATGTCCCATTATCTCCCGACTTCCGCCCTTTAGCGAGAGAGACGAGACACTTATATTACACGACAGCATGACAGAGTCGACACACTTGTACATTTGTTATGCCATCTCATTCATGACCTATGATGTAAGCGACTTGGAAAGGTTTCCAATTTGACCGGAAGTAATGCCGTCTTTTCTTATCCCGAGTACCAATTTTCGTTTTTTGACTTTTCTCTCACATAAAATTTTGCTTTAAGCCTCGGAGAACGTTAAATGGAAGTTGTTGGGTTCGTTTCTTTGACTGGATGATAAGCAGTAACAAAAAAACGAAAGCTTGCCGTTTTGAATTTCCGGCTCTCCCGCTTCCCGTCGTCGAAGAGATCCCCCTTCCCCCCCTTTCTTCTCCCCGGCTCCTGCCCCCCTCCCAGTAAAATAATGTCGTCCTATGTAAGGGAATTAAAGACATTCTTGAATTCTGGATTCCACTCCCTGGATTTCGGATTCCAGATACTGGATTCCAGTTAGTGTGGAGTTTGGATTCTGGATTCGTTAGTGGGATTCCGGATTCCTTGAGCTGCATTCCAGGTCCCAAAGCCCAGAATTTCGGTTTCCACCGGCAAACTTTTTTCCGGGTTCCAAATTTCCCAGATTCCGGTACCGGGTTTCCGTACATGGCGCGAATGATGCCATTGGGCAAAGTGCCCATAATTTTACTTTTTACAGTTATTCAGTTGAACTAATTTTATAAGGAAATGCGAAATCGACACCTTTTAGACAAGTAATGATGCAGAAGATGATAAATTTTGAAACCCCGGCCAACATTAATATTTTCATCTCGCAAAATAAGAATCTAAGATAGCACCGCTACGGGCAGATCCATGATGAAAAAGCAACATGGAGTGTTGTATACTTTAACTAAAAGTTAAACTTTCACTGATCATAACGGTGATTATAGCCCCGTACATTATATCATTCCAAGGTCAGTGTTTCTTTTTTTCGACATTTTGTAATGCAATAACTACAAAAAATCGATGCTGAGAATTTTTGCCTGAGCTTCGAGGTCGTCTTAAAGACAATAGGCTGATTTAGTAACAGAACGGGGACGTCAGCTGACGACAGGAAAGCGCGCGGAAAGGACTAAGTGCGACTCCCGATGCCCCATTCATCGCACTGCCATTGGTCAAGCCAGTTGTTTGATTTACGCGCGCCGTCGTCAACTGACGTTCCCGATCTGTTGCTAAATCAGCCTAATGACCGAGCGCGTAGCGAAGGGGTTTTTAAAGAAGACCGAGCGGGTAGATTTAATGCACCTTTTTGTTGTTTTAGAACCAGCAGGACATTTTTGTGGTCACTAAAATGGAACGATAGGCTACTTTTCGTAGTAATGACCACCTGTTAAACCTCAATGACCTGCTTTTCCTTTTTCTGAAAATCATGCCCCGTTCAAAACAACGGAAGGTGTATTAAAATGTCTTGAGAGGATCGTCTACATACTCGGTGTCAAAACTGTGAATCAGCTTACTAAATTCATTTTCTTGTGCCTATACGGCTGGCTAAACGGTATTTTCATACTGTTTACTGACTAGGTAAGTACACCAGTGATGTTTCTCTTTTTCGTAAAATAGCATAATAAAATAAATTGAAAACAACAACAACAATCATTTTATCTAATTCCAAAGTCATTGACCGCGGTGGCAAAGTACCTGACAGGACCTTCAACAAAGGTGTGGCATTTGGGCGGCACACCTCTACCCAAACTTTCCTGGAGTGCACCCCCCTCTCCCCACCCCGGGAGTTGAAGAACCTCCCGTAAGTGACCTCCCAATCTGCGAAAACAATTGAGTGCTTGCTTACGGAAGGTGAATGCTTACGAGAATTGAACTATAGAGGTTCTTTTCGAAGACGAGGTCCCGACAGATCTACTTTTTGAAAGAGAATTCATTGGATTGCAATGTTAAAATTACGGTATAGCTCCTTGTGGTCGCTAAAAGATCTTCGCAAAGTAGTACTTACAGCGAGCATGGAGATCGAGCTTAAGTGGGAAATCTATTTTTAAACCGTAACACCCAAAGTGGTCACGGTCGCTTTCGATCGATAGGTGGTTTTTTAACTGTAGTGATTTGACAGGGAAGATTTTGGTGTTTTAGATAGATGGTCGCGCATCGCTTATTGGAGGAAATTCTACAGCTAGTAGAGTACACTAGCGCGCATTGGCCGAGTCATCTTCGGTTCGTGGGTGGCCTTTTTAACGTGCGCTTCGGCACTTCCCAAGCTCGGCTGTTCCTGAGGAGAATCAAATTACTGACTTTTAATTTCAGCTCTGTATATCGATCGGCCCTTCTTACCCAAGAGTAATTTTTTTTCCATCCAGCGACTCAAATAATGCAAAAAAAGCTTTGAAATAGCTAGTTTCTGCTTCTAACAGCGGCAGGATTGAACGGAAAAATGCTTTAAATATAATAACTTTTTTTCACTAGTTATCGGCAGGCAGGCAGCGTGGCGCAGTGCCTGAGAGTTGGCCTTAGGACTGATAGTTTAGGTTCGACTCTTGGCGAAGCTGTTTTCTTTTCTTTGTTGTACATTTCTTTTTCGTTTCAAAAATTTTAATCATATTTTTTCCCTTTAGCGTGTTTCCCTTTATTCTTATTGCTGCTCTTTGTAGCTTCGTGAGGTTCTTGCGATAAACGTGTTTCTAGGAACCAGTAAAAAGGAAGAAATGACAAAAATAATTACATCAAAAACGTTGAAACCTCAACCTACGTAACATATACAGTTGAACCCCGATGGGAAAGCCGTAAATAACTAACACAGCATAACGTACACATATATATTTCTCCACCCACTTACAACAGAAAGTAAGTATGGAATAATACCATTGTGGATTCCTTTATAACGGTTATTATGATTATACATTGTACTGACTATCTTCTTCTTAACGGCTAAGAGCCAGGCTTTTAGCCAGGAATTAAAAACTGGCCGTCAAGAAGGCACGTTTTTCCATAAAATTATAAGAGAATTTTCCTTGTATTTCTTTCATAAATGAGCGTCCATAGAACGCCTGAACACCCTTCTGGCTAAAACCTTGCTAAGAGCCTACAGTTGATAAACAGTTATTGGATGAGGTTTTGTGTGACATCCCGAGCAATCAAGGTCGAAGTAAGTGTTAGCAGCCTAACCGAAGGTCGAGCTGATCCGTGTTAACGAAACCTTGATTATTCCTGACATCTCAAAAAACAAATTTAATAATTGTTTTATTATAAATTGTTTTAAAGATATTAACGACAAACACACGATTGCGTGGGACATATTTTGACATTGTTCTTGGAAATAATGCATTGCGCGCGCAACACACAGATTAGTCACTAGTTTATCCGCTAGCAGATAACTAACTAATCCGTAGGTTGCACTGTTTCCAAACGTATTCTACATTGTAGTTACCGTCTTGTCACTGGCTAAGAGCGCAATATTCTACTAATATTCTAATAATCTACTTCCACTTCATGTCTAGTTAAAGCTTGTGATAATTGTAGTCCACATTTTGTCAATTTGATTACGATTGGAATATATCACGGTTGAGAGTGCAAGGCAAACTCGTATAATTATACGTTTCTAGGAAGCTGCTCACCTACCCCTCCCCTAAGTCATCATTAACACTTACTTCTCACTTAGGGCAAAATGTTGGCTCAGGGGAGGGGTTAGCCTGCGTAGCATGGTGGTTTTGGTAGGGCGCGCTAACAAGCCAAGGTGGGGTTAGTGAAACTGTAAGGAGATTGGACGGCTCAGTAGTGCGCCCGACAAAACTGCCATGCTATGCAGACTAGGGAGGGGTGGGTGGACAATTTCCCAGAAACGTATAATGAACTGCAAATTCCGTTTGCATTCTGCGAGATGACCGTTGAAGAGGACTTTTAAGCAATTATATCAATTTCAAAGTAGTCGTTCACAGTGAAGGGAATTCGTGGCCCCTTGTCTACCCCACTGAGTTTCCCAGTGTGATAGTATGCAAAGTTTCAACGTTCGGTTCATTATATACATGTGTCTTTCGACCGTGACACCACAATTCAGTCCCTGCACATATCGGCTTGCACTCCGGGCTGTTTAAATTGAGTTTAATCCACATTCCAGTTAAGCCAGGGACATCGATTTGAAAATCTTGTAGCTCTTTTCGTCGATTGTCACGTCTGCACTGACACTGCAATTCAATTCAGTTCAGGGAATCATTAGTTTTAAGTAAAGACCGTATTGAGTTTCACCAGACATTTAGGAACCAGGCAGCTATAAAGCAGTGCCCAAAACAGACAGTCCAACACATTCACACGCGTGAACGATCTGAGAAAAAAAAAAAAGTCTTCTACCACTCGAAAATGATTTTACAAACATTACTTGAAGCAAGCTACCAATGAGACCTATGGTATTGTGGTCTTAGCGCTATGGACCCCTCTTTAAGCCCAGCCCGTCGCTGCGACAACTGATGCCCAAACATAAAGGTACTGAGTTTTAGACGTATTAATTCAGAACCAAAGATGATTGGTTGGTTTTCCGGGGTTCGCTTTATCGTTAATTTATCTCAGTGCCCAAAAAACTGTTGAAAAGAAAAGAAACTAACCTTTCTTTCTTCTTAGTTTCTTTTGGCAACTGTACATGGATGAATTTTGTTCTTGCGCCGGACAAACCAATGGCGACTAGAGGCTGGTACAAACAAGCTCCCAAACAGAACGGTTGCTCTGCAATGTCTAGAACACTTAGCAGATCTCCAGCCTCGAGATTATACAATCGAAGGAAGTTGTCCTCACTGCAGCAAACCAGCGATTCATCATCTAAAAACTTGCAGTCAACAATTTCAATGTCGGTGTGGTCTCTAAGGAAGACGTGTTTTGTTTCTCCCGTATCTGCATTAAGTATATGCAAGCCTTGACCTTCGTCAAGAGTGTTCCACGTGACAACGAGCTCACTTTTAGGAGAAAAAAGCATTTGTGGTTTAATCGCGGTTATTACTGTAGCTGAATCAGTCCAACACGTTCTTTCCCACTGAATTGCACCATTTTTCAATAAACTGACTGTAACCTTCTCCGATGCAGTACAAAGTAACCCCTGACTTGGATTACTACATACCGGAACTGAAAGTAGCTGTTCATTGCGATCTAAAAAGATCTCTAGCGATGAGATAATCCTGCAGCTTCTAGCACTGGTGACGTCCAAAAATTGGATAACGAAGCGCTGCCATAAACGGTTCCCTATCGGATCTGACCTAAAGACAATCAGTTCAGAAGAATTAGAACAAAAACGGGCTATCCGTTCCTCTGAAATAGAAAAATGATGGCCGTCAAATCTGGTAACCTCGGGAAGGTACCGAAGAGATTTGGACATGTCAAAGGTCAATAACTCTGCGCCGTCATCTTTTAAAAGTACTGCACCATCCCTTGTTGGAAAGATGGAAACACAGCCGGGGAGTTCTATCGTGTTCAATTCCTCGCGGTTTGACATTCTCAAAGCAGTAACCAATGTTACCTTTCTACTTGAGTCTAAAGAATCTTTAACAAACTCTGAAGTAGTGGAATAAATAGTATCTTCTTTAAGAGAACAGGCAATCTCTTTGACCTCTCCACCGTTTCGCGAATCAAACGCCACGTCAGTATTCAACATCGTGATGTATTTGGAAGCTGGGCTACCAACCAATGCTGACTTATCATCGAATCTGATGTAGGAACCTGCATACAAAAAACTACTGGGGATTACTTTATCCACTTGTCTAAGCCAGTAGCAGCTCTTGTCCTCCATTATAAAATCCTTTAAGTCCAAAGTGCCTGACGAATCGCCTGGCCATAATCTGAATGTTTTAGAATGAAGATGAGCAAAATAGTACTTATCAGAACTTCTGAAAATTGCTAAGTCAGTTGGTCCATAAAAGAAACGTTTATACGAGTCATGGCGTCCGCGGAAGGTAATATCAAGAAACCCGCAAAGAAGAGTGTTCTTATCGGATGTGAAATGCATCAGCCCACATGCCACCGATCGACTATTAATAGTTCTCATCGGCGGACGACATGGGTTAACTGCTGGATCAAGAAGATTAATTTTACCAGTCACGTAGGAAATAGCAACTACTGACCCATCTTCAGAAATGGTAAAAGAAAAAATTTCGTCTGCCCACGGACCAACAATGTCCAAAACTTTTTTACCATCTTCCGTATTCCACAGGGCTAACCTATCCGGCTTATTTTGGGAGTCAGTTAGAATTTCCTTCTTCTCCTTGCAAAAGACGAAATTTGAGAACACACAGTCACTGTCAGGGAAAAGGTCTTCTTTGTCTCCAGTCAGTATGGAATAGCCATATCGGAGGGTCCCCGGGAGCACAAATTTCCCGTTTGGATGAAACGTTACCGAACGGTAGTAGGACAAAGAATAGCCTCCATCACGGTATGCGCTGTTGTCTGGATATCCAGAGTAGAACACTTTCTTCGTCAGTGTTGGTCGAACCCATATCTCGTTGCCTGTCAGAATAGACCACAGATAGATAGTTCCATCTCGACATTCGCACACCAAGTAGTCCATTTCAGGTGAAACATCAAAACAAACGATTTTGTCTGAACAGTAAAATCGTGCCTTTTCAGCTCCCTTCTGTTCTTCTCTGTCTAAGTATTTCATGTAGGCTATTTTGGGCGTTGACGACTCAAGGATATCTGCTGCTGAAGACGACAATTCAGGAATCCCTTCGTTAATCAAAGATTGGAAAAATAGATGAGGGTGATCAACCAAGATATATGAGTGTTTTCTTAGAAGACTAACCAGAGAGGTCATAACGAAACCTCTTTCCTCTCTTAATAAACTGGAATTCTTAATGTGAAGACTGTAAAGATCTTCTAAGGCGGTTGTGCTCTTAACAAGAAGTTTTCCATAAATAAGCTCCAGGTCCGTTGCGTATTTGTAGATCTGCTCTGCTGTGACACTGTTGGTTCGGGATTTGTCCGCCCAGTCATGATCGTTGACCTCAAGCATGTGCTGGATACCATGACGCAAAGCATACGACTCAGTATTCGTGAACTGTCTGTCATGAACCCCTTTTCTCTTGATGCTATCGAGTTCAGAAGCACAAAGTTCAGAGAGGACGTTATGACCTTTTTTCTCGTCCACGGTGAAATCATGCTGTTTGTCGTAGGGTGAGGATCCTATTAACCAGTCCTTGACTGACTTGTGAAAGAAGTGAAGACGACCCTCCCGAACTGGTAGCAGTGTAGAGATGCATGATACTGCTTTGTTAGCTTCTCGCTGCGCAGTCAAAGATTCTCCTCCTGGGTTTAGAATTTTTCCAATGAATTCCACTAGCAGGGGCTCTCTTGAAGCGATCAATGCACACAGGAAACGCAAAAAATGTTCCTCATCTGCATTAAGCTCTTTGCAAAGTTCATTTTCTAATCGTTTGAAATAGGACAAGTAAACGGATGAAATACCGGAAGGTAATACGCTTTGTAGCTGATGAGGGGTGAGAATTGAAACATTCTTTTGGATAAAAACCACTATAAAGTAAGCGTAAATAAACAAGCCTTCTGATTTCTTAACCAGCTCTTTCAAGAGAATATCTTTATGCTCTTCACCAATTTTGTGGCTGAGCTGTATTTCAAACAAGGTTCGAATGTCATTTAAGTTCTCTTCTTGCTTTTGTTCAAGCTCGATTGGCTCTAAATGTCGCAATGCGTCTATTATGCTCCTCTCTGGACGAGTTGTGATCAAAATTCTAATCCAAACTGGAAGCATAGAAAAGTGGTTACTGATTACATGTAGAAGCTCATTGCGTCCTTGGTACTCGCTTTCATCAAGGCCATCTATGACTATTAGGGTGTTTCTTCCAGGATCTTGTACTGTGCTTAGAGGCTCTTTGAACAGCAACGCAAAAAGCTCTTTTACATCCATGTTCTTGAGGTCTTTACCCAGATTTCTTGACAGCTGTTCCACCAGGGCATCTTTGTAATTTGGTATCGCTTGACACAAGTGACAGGCCAAAGACTGGAGCATTAAACGTGGATCTCGGTACCGTGAGTTGTCATGCTGACAAAAGTGGCTTCCTGACAATCTTCCAGCGCTTTGCATTCTTTGCGAAACAACAGCGGAGACAACAGTCTTTCCCATCCCTGGATTTCCACTGATTACCATCACCCGATGTGGCGAGCTCTGGTCATCTAACCAGTCTTCAATGCTTTTGAAGATCCACTCACGAGTTCCTTCCTGGAATTTCTTTTCATGAAATTCTATGTCTCCTTTGAATTCGGACTTGACAAGAGTTCTCAGCACCTCATCTGCCTGCTCGTTTCTCTTTTGCGTCAAGCTTTTTACTTCCAGTTTCACTTCTTGAATTGATTCACGAATTTCGTCTACAGCTTGGCTGGTTTTGGACTGAGATTCACATACTCTCTCTAAACGTGACTGTGCTGTCCTCATTTCTAGTTGTCCTTTGAGTTCTATTTCCACTGCTTCATCTAGAACATCCTGAGTTTTGCTTAGGGATTGACGTAGCTCTTCCATCTTTAAAGTGCTATCTTCAACTGTTTTACTGAGTCTTAGTTGCGTCTGGCGGATATCCGTCAGCTGTGTTATTATTTCCTGTTCACTGTCAGCCCACTCAATTAAGGCATCAAGGTAATCTTGCTCTCCACCCTGCTCTGCCTTCAGTCTGTCAATTTCTGCTTGATCTAAACCGAGAGATCGAAGAGCCGTGCTTATTTCTTGCCAGAAGGAGGAGAAAGAGGTCGCATCTACACCGGTGGAAGTCACGTGACCATATAGCTCATTCCGAAAGAACTTAACGCGAGCAAGGTTAGCCTCAAGAGAGTTGTCACTAGGGGATGGCTTAGCATGCCAGTCTGACGCGGGAGGGGATAAACCACAAATGTTGGTTAGTAGAAGGAAAAGAAGAGTGATGTCAAAGTTAATAGAGTTTGGTGTCCCTCCACCTGGTGGTGGAAACAGTTTGTCCCATTGACTACCATTCAGAATTTTTCTATGCCGAAGTCTAGTAAGAATGGAATGAATACGTGTGGAACTGAGATTAGCAGCCAAGTTGGTAGGTGGGTGATAATGATCGAAAACATTCCTCAGCACCATTGTTCCGCCATCGATGAGAAGTCTGCTTAGCTTGTTTCCATTTGTCTTCTCTCTCGAGCTGGCCAGGGGTGACGGTGCTGCAGTCGCCATTGAGCAACCTTAGTGCAGGAGAAAATGTTTATGTCTTGAAAATTCGTTCTTAACCTACGTTGGCAAGAATAAAGATAAACGTGAGTCACACCTGTCCACAACCATTAACTCGCTCCGTCATTGTTTTAATTTGTTTTGTTTATTTTCATGATTACAAGACCATGAAACTGACAATCATGTGAGTATGACTGGAATGAATTAAAACTAATGCCTTCGAGGAATGTGTTTAACACATTAGCTGTCATGGGTATTTAGTCAACGCAACAGCTAGATTTACGATTGTGGACGATTTGAGTTGCTTAACTGAGCGTACTAGCATGCATGATCCAAGAGCAAATGAGGTCTCAAAGCCCCTCTTTACTAGATATAAGGGAGTAATAGTTGTTTTAATTACAAGAGACACGGCTTTCTCTTTGTGCATAAAAGAAAATACTCAAAGCAATAAAAAGTATGGAAATCATTTATTGCCAGGTCGTTTGTTAGAACCAAGCAATTATACCAGATCATGATACATTATCGCGTTTCTCTCTTGAAGCAAACTGAATGAACAACATTGGTCTATTGAATTTCAAAGAGAACGATAGTGAAAAGAATAATCTAGCTAAGTAACACAACACCGACGTGCAAAACAAATGTGGAAACTGAAGACAACGCAGGCATGGGCCTCAGCAATTTTCTCATATCTGCGACATTCAATATGAAACTTAAATGAGAACACGTAATCATATTGCCTGTAGTCATTATTTTCAATGTTGAAGTACGGTAATCCATATTGCAGATATTGAGGCTATGATTTAGCTTTCACCGGCCTTCTAAGTCATCATTATTTTACTATATACACTCAAAATCGATATGACCACTGGGTTTTCGTTTTTGCAAATTCTTTACAAGTTTTCTGACAAACGCGCTGCTTGTTGATGTGTTGTTTCCAAAAAGCTGAAGGGCCGTGTTGTGTAGCTTTGTGTCATATCCCGTGTCATATAAAACGCTGTCATACAGCAACTGCGGCTGGGTTATGAACCATGTCAGGTTTTGAAGTGCCCTACTTTACGTTTATATACGAGTTTAACAGCCAAGAGAAAAGCTAAGAAAAGCATGAACTTGCAGATATCTTCAATACACAGAAAAAATGGGGGGTCTCCGGTATGGTTTCTTGAAGGCGGAAATATAAAGATATGTCTTCAGACTAGAGCGGCAAAGAATATTCTTTCGTTCGATATTTTCAGCTCTGGTCATGACCTCTGGTCATGACTTCTCATGACCCAATGGCTACAGAAAGCTTGAGTTAAACTTTCATTGAGCAAGTCGCTAGAAGCTAATAGAGCTTACGAGCCGGGAGATTTAAGACCAATTGTTTAGTATACCTGCTTCATGACTATTGTTTATCCATTCGTTTCTTACGCTCTCTGCTGAAAATGTTCTAGAAACTTTGAAAGGTCTAAAAGTTGCAGGATGTTACCGGGAGATGTTGGCATCGATCGGAATTTTTCTCAGAATCCCAAACGTAACGGAAGTAGTCTAAACGAAACTGCACTACATTGTGAAAGTGAAACATCGAGGTGGATACATTATGATGCCTCGATAAGCCCTGTGAAACGATCTGTGGGGTACACAAGGCCCTGAAGCTATTTTTGATAAACTTACCCTTTCTGCTGCTACATTCTCTAGCAAAGCTTCTTTCGTGTAGATCCCTGGACATGTTTCAAACGAAGTGTTCTAAGTGACGTGGCCCATCGATTAATCCAGAATCTCTTGTTTGCATTTGCGTAGACTGTGTTGTTTTATGTTTTGCATCAGTAACCCGACAAATGGGGGCAAAGATCGGAAAAGAGAGAAAAACGCGCACGAGGGAGGCACGCCACACAGGCTATCTCATTCCCTTCAACAGAGCTGTAGCTTAGAAAAGCTGCTGAGAAGTACGATAACTTTAAAAAAGAAAAGAAAAAACAGCAACAACAGTCAATCAGAGGATAGGGAAGAAGGGAAAAAGGGAGGGCAGGAGCCCATCAAATGGGCTCCTGGGGAGGGGGATTGGGGAGAGAGGACGTTTCTCCCTCCCCTCCCCTTTTGAGCCTGTCACGCAACCAAGCGTCTTAGTGAGTTCTTTGAAATTTTCATTTTTTAAGAAAATTTGTGAGAACAAGGAAAATATGTTCTAAATTCCGCTTTTTTAAAAGATTCGAAATTAAAATGACTCAATGTTTCGGCATTGTTTGTGCTGTATGTTTTACAGTCAGTTCGCTTTTAAAGGCATTTCGAAGTGCTTTGGCGAGTTTAGATTTCGAGATGTTTTGGAAAAGAGGAATTTAGAACGTGTTTCCTTTGTTCTTAATTATTCCCTCATAAAAATCTTTGGGCTCCTGCCATAGTTCCTGTTCCAGCGACAAAAATGTCCCCATCTCCACCCCTATAAACGGCAAAACAGAAATAGTTCCAGTTTCCTGCGTCCGATTTGGAACGCCTGGCAAAACCCTGTCAATCGTGCTCCGCTCACGATGCCCGTTGATAACAAGAGAATTGCAGGTCCTGAAATAACGCAGCCAGTTGTTTTGAGAGAAGGAAAACGCCTTCGAAAACCTCTGGTAACCTCGATCGTGTTTTTTGTATGATTTAGTGTCTAGAAGGTGTTAAATTAAAAAGCCTTTGTTGTAGATCAGCAGCGAGGGTCAGCGACAAGATGGCCGCAAATTGGAGGAGCTGCGTCCCATGTGTAAGTTGCTTTGTTCTCTTTGAACATCATTATTAAAATTTGAAAACAAGTTAACTTTAAATTTTTTTTAAAGTTTACTTTACAGAAATTAAGCGCAAAATTGAATCAACATAACTAAAATCAGAAATTTGTTCTTTGTTGCATATTGTGTATAGTTTTTTTTAAATTGAAAAAATAAAATAGAATATTAGGCTCGATTATCAGCTGCTGATCGGTTCCCTGCTAGCAGAGGTCTCTCTCGTCGTGAGAGACCTCTGCTAGCAGGGAACTGATCGGGAAATAGGCCCTCGCGCCTCTCTCGAGCCGTCTCTTCTTGGGGAGAACCGAGAGAGTGACCGAAATTGAGCCCAATAAACTATATGATAGTGAAGTTTTGTCCAGTTTTTCTGACTATAATGTACATGTATGACTGAATTTGATTTCCATATTTTTTCCAGTTTTGCGGTCAGGAGTGGTCAGTCAAGCAAGGGGATCAGCTTATATTGAGATGCAAAGAACCAAGGTTACATGTGCAGTGTATCTTTATGCTGAACTACCAACAGCACATGTCACTTGAATGTTGGCTTCTTGGGGTATCAGTAAGCTGATAGAACTGTCACTTAACCATATAAAAAGTATGGAATAATTTTTTTAGAGCTTTCCTCAGGACCCTTAGACCTATAATGGAAGACTGATTTTGACCATGAGACATAAGAAGGGACCCTAAAGACCTTTTGAAAGGCAGTATTTTGTCTCTAAACTTCATTTTGCCTGCATGTGACAATTTGACTTTAACAGAAGCTCAGATATGGCTCTAGAGAGTCGTCAAGACAACAAGAATTTAGTCAAAAGGTACAACTGGTAGTAGATATAGAGAATATTACATGGTGGCGCGAAAATATGAATTTTATTTTCGAGTGGCAAAACAATCTTCTACGAATGAGCGCAGTGAGAGAGTAAAATATTGTTTTTGCCACAAGAAAATAAAATTCATATCTTCAAGCCACCATGTAATGTTCTTTTTATTATATAGACAAAAAGACATCAATAAAATAATAGAGGGAAATCACCGAAATTATGTCATCGATAAACTCACGTGTGAGATTATGGAAAATAAACCACTCAGGTCCCGGATGTAGTTTTTATGAATTTTACGAGTGGTATATTTTCCAGTAAAACACTCGTGTCTATATGATAAAATGTTATATTCTTCAAAGTTTAAACTTATTCTTCATGTGAAAATTTAACTAAATTAATGATACTTATATTAAAGATGGTGATTTTTTGGACATTATTTTTTAATCAGGATAAAATTTTAAAATTCACATGAGAATAAATTATTTTCTGAGGCAGTCCATATTTTCTTTGTTAGGGAAAACTCACTTGTGAATTTAAATTTGCACCATTTTCTTGCTGGCAGAGAAGACAACATATCCAGGTACTGATTGGGTACATCCACATCTTTTCATTGTAGTTCTGATTATCAGTTTGGGTATTGGTATGTTGTGGTTCATTCACTTTTTTTCTGTACAATTCTGAAATAACTTAAATTGTATTCGGTTGTCTTTAATAGTATAACCAAAAAAAAAACAAAAAACAAAAAACCATAAACAACAATGTGTCACTGAACACCTAATGTGATAGTAATTTTTTTCTTCTGAGCTGCCTGTGTTTCAGCCTGAATAACATTTCCCTTGTGTATTCACCAGGCTTATAATTCACCATCCCATGGCCATTTCTATGGTGCACATGAGCACATGTCGACATTCCAGACCTAGCAGCTTGCAGGATGTTTGACACATGAACTAAGTTTAGAGGCCCTAGCTTCCACAAGTCTCATGTAGCTTAGTGGTGGAACATCTGGACTATAGTAGCCAGAGGGTCTCCTCTTTTGGAGAACTCAGATTTTTTTCTTCTGAGTGGCCTACTGTCACTGACTGAATAACATCTCTAAAATATTATACATGGAGGAATGCCTATTGTGGTCCAATAAATCATGGCAAAGATTAGGCCATAATTTCAAGCAAGCCACAAAACCACAAAATTAAAATGTATGCTTGCGATGTAATTTTCTCATGCCCAATGTTTTCATCAGGATTCAGAAGAGAAAGAGTTTTCCTCTTTTGTTGTGCAAGCCTTGGAGCCAGCTGTTTGCCTGGTAAGATTAATTTTTATACTGGTGTTTGTTGTTTAATATTTTTTGTTTTTAAGAGGCAGATAAATAATGAAAAGCAAGGTGGTAGTGAAAATTTCCTGAGCGAAAAAATTAGTAAAGCCTAAACCTGAAACAGTCACATTTTGCACCTCGGGCTATAAAATGAATTAATTTTAAAATATTATATTCAGCTCTAAAATTTCCCATCCAAATGAAAGCAATTTAACATGGTTTTTGTAGCATGGAAATCACATCATTTTGTTGTTTAGGGTGATATAGAACTGTTGGAAGGATCTTGCTTTCCACAAAATAGGGGCCATGCAAAAAAGGGAATATGTAAAATACAATTTTGTTTCCATCATGAAAACTACAGATTTTCTGGGTAAACTGATCAAAAGAGCTTTTGAAGAAAATTTCTCCCTTTGTTAGCATTGAAAATAGTAAAAATGTCTTTTCTGCTTTATTTTATTTTGCTTACTGCTATACCTTTTTGGGCAGCACATACCTATCAGGCAATTATATAAGGGAGTATCCCCCGCGCGTAAAAACTTACATTAGTCTGCTTCTTCTTTCGAACTGGCAGTTAAACATGCAGTCTGCCTAGACAAAAACGTGCTTCAAGTTTTCTACAAAAACACAGACACTGTAGCACAGACAGTCTGATCCGCTGTTGTTTCACTTATAGCGGATCATGTTATAGAATACACCAAAAGCGGAGTATCTAGGGCCCTTTTCAAAAAAGGAACTTGTTATCCTTGTTGAAAGTCCCCGACGTTCAGATTCTGGAGGTAGAGGAAAAAAAGACAAAACAATGGGTGATTATATTAAGAAGTTTCTCAATCTTGCCCTCACACTCGGCAGTCGGAACGTCTGAAACAGGCTACCACTATTATTTGAGACCTTTACAAAGATATCACATTTGTAACATATTCCAAGGTGTATACGAGGTCTTACGCTGCCAGCGTGTACAAACAAATCAGATTGGTACAATGTATGAACCTTTTTCTTGCTGTATCTGAAGTTTTGCGAATTCTGAACAACAAATTCTCCTTATAAGCATGCTCATTTTTACATTTGTACTTTCCATGCTCTTAAGATGAATTATTTGTATTAAAACATAGTGCTATTTGGAAAAGCGCAACCAGTGATTTTTTTTACTGTATTAGACGGTAAATATTTATAAGGGTTTAGTTTTAAAATTTACTCAGGAGGTTTATGATATTTCAACCAAGTTGCATTTATTTACTTTACCGTTACGTTATTAAAATAATTAATAAGGCTCTGAATGGGTATTTCCGACAAAGAAACCGAAGTGGTGACAGTACGTCAAAGATTGGTAAGGCAACCATCTTAGAGATTGAAGCGACGATTGCTACCTTTTCAATTAAGTTTGAAAACGTTAGTCCGGCATGATGCACTTTCAAAAATTTTTGTTTTGGTTATTTTCTACTTTTCTTCGTCGATGTGGTGCTCTTACCTCGCTATTAGCTATAGCGTTACAATGCAAAATAATTAATTCCATTAAAGGCCACTATTTTACCTGAAAAACTGATGGATTAAAAAACAACGAGCAACAAAATAGATGTCGGCAGGTGCCCATACAGAGGCTCTATAGTGATACTTGATGTGACAACAGGAATGTCATATACTTGCCATTCTACGCTGTAATTGAATGGTTTCAATTGAAATTTAGGCATGCACATTCATTTAAAAAGAAACACAAAATGAGATTGTTAGATCTACGATTAGACTATAAGGCTATAAAGGTGATCAGAGATTTACACTTAAAATGTATAATATATTGTTGAGTTTTGTCGATTGTGGTCCTAGGCCTTATCATGGTGGTTTCACATTGCTTTTGGTCCCAAAAATTATGTGAAAGGCATGGACATGATACTGTATAAAAATGAGATTATTAAACTCATATCGTGCCTGCAACATCATGCATGTACATCCGTTAAAATTTGTCACTTGTCGGTTCATGTCATTTTTACTCTCGCTTAATTAAGTCAAAATTTGTCAGTGAATTTGTCGGTACTGACAAACCGACAAAATTTGTCAGTTGTCGATTCATGTCAGTTGAACTGTCGCATAATTAAGTCAAAATTTGTCAGTGAATTTGTCGGTCCGGACAAACCAGCAAAATTTGTCAGTTGTCAGTTTGTCAGTTCATGTCAGTTGAACCCTAGCTTAATCAAGTTAAAAGTTGTCAGTGAATTTGTTGGTACTGACAAACCGACAGAAATTTTGCATTTGTTTGCCAAAATGAGGATTTGTATTTAAAGGTTGAATGAAAACTTGAACCTTATGATAGTGAGAAGCACAAAACACTGGACACTGAGGGGGCCATGGAAAGTTTTCCTGTTAAGCGGATTGACTTTACATAAAATGCAAGGGCTTTCCTCAGGGACAAAGAAAACTGATGTAATGATGAGGTGTCTGTCTTTCTAAGCGGGAGTCTGTAAAACTCAGTTTGACTTTATATTGTGATGGGATCGTTTCTTCAGGAATACATGACAAGGACATTGTAGCCATTCTGCATCTGCTGGTTGCCTTGGCACGTCATTTTGAGTGTCCACAGAAACTGCCCAGTGGAGTTACAATAAACACAGTCATTGTGCAGAAGAAAGGAGGCATTCTACTTCCTCAGAAGGTTGTTCAGGAGATAACCGAAGTGACTAAAGGAGAAGAGTAAGTAGCGTGAGCGTCAAGAGCCATTATTGCTTAGAATGTCAGATACAACTGTTGATGTCTTGTGTTAAAGTGTAAAGTCTTGCTACAGAGTAGGTTTTTTTGAGGCCCTATTATACTTAAGGGGTACGTATATAACCTTAGTCTGAATTTCAAAACCATTTGTTTCATATCTTGCAAAGGAAGCCGTGTCCCTGTTGATATTAATTTTTGTATATTGTATGTGCATATTTTTTAGCGCTGTTGCAGTTTTAACACATCTTTTTGTCGTTTGTCAAAATTTCTTCTTTCTTATGTCGCTGTCTCAAGGCCATGTTGCTTGTTGAAATTTTACGCTAATTTTAATGAATGACAGTGACCATTTTTTATGATCTTTAAATCACAGAATTTAACTCTCATTTTTCGTTTTCAGTGATGAAGGAAAGCCTGGTATGTCGTTGCAATTCTTTCTAAACTTTTTTCATGGTTGTGGCTGTTTTCCTTAACTTTTTGTCTAGTCAGTCATTTATATATCGGCTCAGTTTTTTTCTTTTCATTTCTAGAAAGAGATACTTTTGATGCACTGTTTGATAATGCACCAGAGAAGCTAAATGTGGTTAAAAAGGTATATGCAATTTAATTTTTGTGAAATTATGGCAGCCCTTAAAGTACTTTACAATAAGGTACATCAAGTAATTGCCACAGATTTGCCTCGGTCAAAGTCCATCTATCTGATCTGAAAACTGTTAATTATTTAAAGAGATCCAAGACAGATGAAGTGTTTTGCAATAGGCTGTTTTACAATATGACGTCATTTTATGAACCACAATGCTTCAGTGTTTTGCTTTCTTGTGCAAATTAGGGCTTTCATTGTTTTAAACCTCACTAGGATTTTCAATTATAAATATGAAAGGAAAAATGAAATAGAGTCTGGTATTAGTAACAGTAAAATGACACTGTTGTGCAAGCTGTGGCCAATTCTGTGAGAAAATTGTAAGACATTCCAAAAAAGTATAATATTATGGTAATTACCGACAGCTGATTGATTGATTGATTGATTTGCAGTCTCTGCAGAGTTTTGTTAACAAGCATCTAAGCAAGTTAAGCCTGGAGGTTGACAATATTGACTCACAGGTACTAATGAAGTACAGGGTTATTATGAAATGGGAATTTTGCCCCAGCTACCAGAATGAATATGACCTTTGGCTTCTTTTGTAGGAAAATAGTTCCAATAAAAATCCTTAGCTGTTTGTTCCTGCCTACATGTTTTGTTCAGCCAGCAAGTTGAAATCTTAGAGATATTCCTGGAACTAGACAAGACACACCATACAACATCACCATTTTAAAGCAACTTCTAAATCATCCTTATGGTATTTTAAATTGTTCAGACAATCAACATAAAGGTGATGAGGATGATCAGAACTACATATAAATCATGAAAATAAAAGGTCTTATCTTTAAAACAAATTTTCCTGTTACTTACAGTGTATACAGTGTACCAATATTGAAAGATGTAGAGAAAGAAAGTCTGTAACAGTTATGTTCGTATAGGATTATTTTTTGAAGAAGTGGGGTAGTGGATCCATGGGATATGGGGGAGGAGGGGGCGGGGGCTACTTTAGAGCAATCCATGAAAATTTATCATGACATTGTGGGAGCTCACTACGTAAACTTTGGGGGTTTTCACTTTTGGAACTTTAGGATATACATACTTTAGTAATAAAAGGAACTGCTGCCCTTTAAATAGATTATTGATTAATTAAAATTGTTCATTTTTTTCATTTTTGTTGCCTTAGTTCCATGATGGTGTTTACCTTATCTTTTTGCTGGGGCTTCTTGAAGGTTTCTTGGTACCACTGTACCAGTATTACATCACACCAGCAAACAAAGATCAAAAGGTATGCTGCAGTTAATAGTTTAATAGAAGTAGCGATCGCGTTTACTCCATCTAGTGCAGTTCGTCAAATGTTGGCAAATTATTCTGGAGTTGAATTTTAAAGGATTGTTTCAAAGTACAGGAAAAGAAAAAGAACTTGGTTGTCGTGTGTGCCCGTCCTCCACAAAACGTGAAATTAGGCGCTTTCACTTCGTAGTCGTGCAGTGACGGCAGTGGCATATACAAAAAGCTTGATGCATGTGCAAAGTTGTTGTTTTGCTTATGAAACCTATGCTTTTTTGCCGTTCTCGCTGCTGTCGCCGTCGTCTTTGCTTAAGCTCCATATTACCTTCTCGATAAAACGTGAAACGAGGCAAAAGTCGAAAAAGAAAAAAAAATGTACCAAAAAGTATGCTGCACGTGCAAAGTTCTTCTTTTGCTAATATAAACTTACTGCTTTTTTGACATTCTCGTTGCGGTCGCCATCTGCCTAAAGATACGAAGCCTTTACAACATCCCTGTTGTTTGAGCTCGCTCATTACTGGTGTTTTCATTTTTCAAAACAGCTCCATAATGTTGCTTTAGCCATTGACCTCATGAGAGACAGTGGAATGAAGTTTCATGCCAAACCTGAAGGTAAAAAGTAAATGAAAAGTAAATTTAAAGGTGAAAAGCTGTATCTCTAAGAGAAGATAATTCTCGGCTCATAATCTTGGTCGGTTCTTCGGCGCGGAGGGGGGAAACTTGAAAATGGTATATAAAAGGGTACGGGGTTGAACCTCGGGGCGGAGCCTTCCCGCAGAAATCTTTGTTGAGTACCCCCCGGGTCTAAAAAACCTCGGTTTAACGTGTGCTAAACCACTGTAATTATTACGAGATTAAGCGGGGAGGGTGACCCCCAAACAGTGTTCCCCCCCACTTATTCCCTCCAAGTATTCAGTCCCTTTTAACATCGTGTGGTAGCGGAACAGAAGTTGCAACAGGAAAAAATCTGTGTTGAACGGTGAAAGAAAGAGGACAGTCTCAAGGACAGTCAATCCAAACAATACCAATCTGAATCACAGTCACTTTGAATATTGGCCGCCATCTGAACAACACTGAAGCAAATAAATCACAGGGGTTGTTTACTGTTGACTAAAAGTTTCCGAAAAATCCGGCTGGAAAGTACATGGAACATGACTCTTTAGGTCTTTCCAGCGGAAAATTTTCAGGAGCAACGGAACATCTGAAAAGCTAGTCGTGTTTTTTCCGGACGGAATAGAGCGAGTTTTGTATGACCTTGAAATGAAAACGCGCGAACAAAACAGAAACAACAAACGAACGGAAATAGAGCGATTTGATTGGTTTATCGAACGGAAACAAACGCGCATGGCTTTTGGTTGGTTAAGCGAACGCTCAGGTGAAAAAAACTTCATGCCTGAGAACTTTCTAGAAATCAATCGATACTTCGCTTTGACGTCGTACTGCAACACAAGTGGACAATCGAGCAATGCCTTCTCCATATTAGGGTTTTCTTTAGCGGGAAAACGAAGAGTCCATGTTTTGATCTTTTCATCCATTGGCTGATAAAACAAATAACAAACACTTACCGAAACCATTTTTTAAGGTCATACGAAAATCGCTCCATTCCAAACGGAAGTTTGTGTTCCATTTCTTCAAAGCCATCGTTGATACCAGTTCCAGGCAGTTTCAGTAAATGGTTCGACTGGTATGTACAAACGGTCAACGCGATTCCGAGGCAAATTTTACCAGTCCTGAATTTTGCGTACCGTTTGCCCTAGCCGAGGATCGACTGGTTTGAACTTTCTTGTTAACGACTGAGCTTATTTGTTTGTTTGTTTGTTTGTTTGTTTTTGCAGATGTGGTTCAGAAGGACCTCAAGTCAACACTCAGAATACTTTACTCGTTGTTCCAAAAGTACAAAAATATGAAATAACTTCTCAGTTGGATTTCCTCTTATGTGTAGACTGGTGGAACTCCCACAGTGTATGAAATGGACTCAGTCGACAAGGAATTCAATTTCCCGTTGGCCCGTTTCTCCAATCTCCCAGTAATGTACGGGCCCCAAAAGCTGGCGTATTTGCATTCAAGATTGAGGTATTTTAAATAGTTTTAAAAGTTATGCAATAAAGCTACCAGTTTGCGAAATTTAATTGCCTAGTTAGGGGATTAAAACCGACTCTACTATTCTTTAATATATTATTTTGATGTTAGAATATGACTTCGGCCGGTAAAGTAACGGGACTTTCGAGAAACGGGCCCCCGGACCTATAACCCTCCATGCCTTAATATTGACGTACATCAAATTTCTCCTAACATTTTTACTGCCAGAGCAGACACTAAGGTAGTGAGAGTAACGGAAGTCATTACCTAGGATTACACATCTTGATCGTTAAGCAAATTCTCCTCAACATTACCATAGGTATTGTATGAAGGATAGTGTAGAGAGTATGATAGCTGATATTAGAGCTTGAACGGCTCATAAGCAAAAACGCCTCTGGATAGTTCTAGAAACTCTTTCAAAAAACTCTTGTTGTTCAAACCAAGATAGTACAGGCCAGTTTACACAGGCAATATTTCGGGCGGTTTTCAAGCAACTTCGTGGCGTTTTCTTGGCCTTTTTTTCCTGCAATTTTTGCAATCTTTAGTTAGTATAGCGCACACGTATATGATGTGTGATGTCAACACTTTTCCATCTAAAGACCCAGGATAGGTTTCTTTTTAACCTGCGATGAAGCGTTTTTTTAGAGACATTTTTTGAGACGTAATAGAGATATAGGCAGGGCATGATCGAACGTTTCAAAACGGAAGAAAACGGACGTTAAATGTTATAAAGAATGTAACATGCAATTCAGATACTGTAAGTAATATAGTCGTTAGCCAAAATGTTTTTTCGTCTTTTTTGGCTGTCATATATTGTCAAAACAAAATATTCTTTAATAAGCATGTACATATAAAATATAGTTTTGTGGACAGAAATAAACACTTTGAGCTGTTGATTTAACGTTGTTTCTTCCGTCAATGACTTGTATTTTTGGACGATTAATCTTAAAAGCTAGAGGCTTCTCTTCCGAAACCAAACACTTCCAAGCTCCAATTCTTTCTGGGACGCACGAAAAGCATCCATTGGCGGCCATTTTCAAACACCCGATCACCAATGTTCGTTTGTCAATTGTAAAACAGACGCTGTTACAAGACATTTAACCGACGTTTCGACAATGCTACCTTCTTCAGGGTACAAAACTATACACCGTTAAAAAGTCCGTTAAATTAGCTCACGCTTACTCGCCGACTCGCGCAGCCATGTACGGTATAACAGCGTCGACTTTAAAATTTTCAAATGAGCATTAAGTAACTACACTTCGCAGGGCGTCTCTTAAACCCGGAACACGGGACACCCCCGGAATACTCTGGAACACCCCCTGACAGGCCGGATGCCCCCAGAACAACCTTAATTACAAGACCTAGCCAAAAAAATTACAAAACCAAAAAACCCCTAAAATATCATCAATGAATCAATAAATAAATAAGTGTTATCTATAACTGGAAAACGGAGATTGGGTCAGATTGACCAATTCACGCTACTTAACGACTTCTGAAGATTTTAAGAAAGTAGTCCGTTGTCTTTATTTGAATACTTACTGGCCTTTTTGTCTGAAATGTAGCTGAAAGAGCCGCCAGTGAAGTCACGAAAAAATAAATAAACCAAATATAAAATATCTTTTAAATAGATATCATGCCGATTTGATGTCTACCGTGTTTGAGGAGTATCACTTATAAAATTCACTAATTTGATTCTTGTGTTGTTTTCTTTTACTTTGATATATTGTCTTTGATCAAAAAGAAAAATATTCTTGGTTTTTAGTGTTTCATTTTAAGTTTCCAGCTAATTCTTGTTATTTTTTTCTTTCGAGTGGGTAGATTACATACGTAAATTGCATATAGAATTCTTTGTTCTGTAGGTATTTCCCGAAAGGGGGGGCACTCCCTTATTTAACGTTGACGGGTATGTGCCCCTGAGCAGAGTACGGTTTTCAGGGTCTTGGACCGGGATCGTTTAAAAAATGTGAAGGTTGGATATAAGCTGTCTACATTTGTGGTACCAGCAATTCTTTACCAAAAAAATCCAATTCGACAATGTTCTTTTGAAAAATTACTTAGTTCTGTCGGCGCAACGAAACGAATCAGTGTCCTAAAATAAGGTCTCTTGTCTTAAGCAAGGTCTGGGTTTGAAGGCCTCGGCGGCAAACCTTTACCCGAAGAATGCTTGAGTGTACCCCTCGGGTACGGTCAACCTCGTCCCCAGGGCTTTTCCCTTAAAAAATGGAAAAGCTCTGGGGACGAGGTTGGGGGTACGGTCCGTTTGGCCGTTATGTTTTTTTGAGATTAGTGAGGCTTTAGACTGACGCGCGATGTTCTGTAGTTCCTCCGTCGGAATAAATATTTTTGTTTTAGTTTAACAGTCTTTGCGACTGTTCTGATGGTTGTTAAGGCAGCTTCCTCGGAAAGAATACCCTTTCTGTCTTGTTGTGCCATGACATACGTTTGAGTGTCCTGGCCTTGAGTATCGCTGACCACCCACTACTGGGAAGCTGTCACGTCCATTTCTATGTCATTTTGAAAATCAAAAACGCCATTTGAGAAATCAAGGGCTATAATAAATTTTGGAAATCAAAGATTACCTGAAAAATCAATATGAAACATTAACACACAAAAAATATATATATATTTTTTAATCAAAGACAAAAGAAAGAAAACAAGACAAAATCAAAATAAGTGAATTTTATGAGTAATACTCCTCGAACACGGTAGACATCAAATTGGGTAGAAGATATTTATTAAAAAATTGTAAATCCCTCATGGGCCATCCGCTTGGGTCTGGGTCTGGCCCGTCAGGGGGGTATTCCGGGGAATTCCGGGTGTCCTGAAGGTGTTCCGGGGTGTTCCGAGGGTGTTCCAGGAGTGTTTCGGGCCTGTTCCGGTTTTTTCCCAGGGATTTTTGTTTTTATTTTCAAATACCCGTTCAGCTGGTGTAAGGTAATGCTCGAAAATAAATTGTTATTCTTTATAGGTGATTGGGTCTTCCGAGAATTTTTGGAGTTTGCTTCTGTCTCTCACCGCGCACAAAATCCTCAGGTCCATACCTCGCACCAGCTGGCGGCTATTTGAATAACCTTGCCAATGAAAATCTTTTGAAGTTGATTTTTATTTAATCGGTTACACTTTAAAACCAGGGCTGAGTCGTTCAAGGCTGGGTTAAGATTAGTGCGTCAAATTTGGATTCAGATATTAGAGCTTTTACGCTTTCTTTTAAAAAGCAAATTCAGTTAAATTCTTTTTGTCAAAAATTGGATGGTTGATTGCTCTAAAATGAACAGAGAACATTTTCCGAGAAAACGAATCTGAACAAACGTAATTGATAGCTTTTATTTGCACATGTCCACGTACCTTTAAGGCCATCTCAATTTAATGCTTCGTTTCCCATCGCCCGACCGACCCGGTTTTTTGGAAAAGTAAAAAAAAAATCCAGAATCACTTGTAAAGAAGCAAGTACTTTAATTTACAAGCACACGATGTTGTCTTATTAACACCAATTGTCTTAAATTATCATCGATACTTCGTTTTTGTAGCCTTTTTGGACATTTGATAGTCCTGTTAATATACATCTTGTACCACCTGATTATATCTTGCAGACTAAATGTGAGATTTAATATGCAATCATGTGTTCATTCTTTTTTTTTTTTTTTTGCCCGACCGACCGACCCACCTTCACGAGAGGGAGGACGATGGGAAACGAAACATTTTATTGGGAGTATGAAATAGCTAGGGCAAGAGGAGAAGTGTGACGTCACGTTACTATGGAAGCAAAATTTCTGAATCTCGACAATCTTTCGTGACGGAGACAGTCTTTTGCACTGTCGAATGATGAAAGAATAGTATGGACTACCGTTTTGTTTCTGAGTGCAGTCATTTACAATAAAGTCATACATGTCAGCTTCTTCGTTTTTTTTCTGTTATATTTGAAGGACCATGGTTTGTTTCCAGAAATTTTGTTACCATGGTAACGTGACAGAACGAATTCTCCCTAAGGAATAAAATGTTTTATTATATAGATACCGATGAAATACCAGGATTTTTCCTTTTACTAAAAAATCATATCTTCATCGCGCGCTGTGAAGATACTATTTTTATCTTTCACGTGTGAGGATATTGGTGTCGCCATGGTTACTAACATGGGTTATCTCTTCTTCATTAGAGTTTTGACTTTTTGGAACAGAAAATACATGTATTATTGTCTTTATTTCTCCTTTATAACTTTATATCCGAGTTTCATAACATTTTTATGACAGGCATTTTGCGGTAGGCGACCACTTTACTTGCACTATTTTGCTGTTTCGAAAATGAATAAAAAAAAGTTGTGTTTTATGTAGGAATTTCATCAGTATCTATAAAATAAACAGAACATTACATAGCCGCTTGGGGATACGAATTTTATCTTCTCGTGCTGTAAGTATCTCTCACTCGTTCGCTTGGCTCGTGAGAGATACTTTCAGCACTCTAAGATAAAATTCGTATCCCCGCGCGGCCATGTAATATCCTCTATTTACATATGGTTGTGTGTGTGTGTGTGTGTGTGTGTGTGTGTGTGTGTGTGTGTGTTGTGTGGTTTCCGAATTCCTATACCTACAATCATGGTCGAAAGTGTTGGGAAAGCTGCTACTTCTTACCTCTTTTTCCTTCCTGCCCTGACCCTGGCCCAATGTTGAGCAAAACATAAATGTTTGTGCGCGGAATTGTTCTGTCATATCCCAGCAATAGAGAGCTTTTTAGATTCTAAGACGAGGACGACTGTGTGAACGAGATTTTCTCAATGCTAAGTAGTGGGCGCGCTCGACCCAACGTCATTTTGGCGGGAAAATGTGGTAGCCGTCGTCA